CTCTGATTCTGCTTGGCCTGCTGTGTTCATCCAGCTCTACACCTTGTTATCTGTATCACAGACTGGTTTCAACTCTGGGAGTGTTGCTCTATGCTGGAGAGGCATCAGTCTCTTATTTCTATCCTTTTAGAAAATGTTTAATTAAAACAAACATTTTCAGATGAAGAGACACAAAGTATTAGCTCTCTCAAACTCCATGCAACCCATTAATGGTTCCAGCATTTGTCAGATTTACAGCAGCTATAGTACTCAGCTTTTGTACATACAATCAGTCTCACGAACGGTTACTTCCGAGAGCTATTGAGGATCCATTGTTGTACAAAGAATCCGAATCAAAAACATGCCAACACCTAGTACAGGGAAAAACATGTGGGAGGATAAAAGAATTCCAGAGTTCACCTATGTTTAAAAAAAGTGAACCGCCCAAATCATCATGTATTTTTCACTAATATATAATGTAGCAAGTTCCTTTCGTGACACATAGCATTTTACAGCTCTCCAGTTAAAGAACTTTAACACTTTTTACTGAAGAGGAAACATCTCAAAGCAAGGGGTGACCCTCTTGCGAATGACTGATTAGTGAACATTTTTGAAGAAAGAAAAGTTATTCAGCAGATTTAGAATATTTGCATGTGGAAAAGCTCATTGGACAACAGCGGAACATGCAAATAACAAACAAACAAAAAGTCCTATATTCTCGTGGTAAAAATATAGCTAAAATATTGATGGCTACTATTTTGTAGACATTTCATAAAAAAAAAAATCACTGCAATTTCATCTGTTGTAAAATACACTTTTCAAAGCATGCCTAGAGGCACAGGAGGCAAACAAACAAAACTCGTGCTTGCTTCCATTTCTACGGATAGAGATTTCTTGAAAACAGGCCACTAGCCGGCTGGATAAATATTTCCTGTCCCTAGCCCACTACAGGGTGGCAATGATCTCATGATATTAAAATTCGCTGAACTAATAATCCAGAGACCGAGGTAGTGCTTGAGGACCCAGGTCCAAAGCCACCATGGCAGATGGAGGAATTTGAATTCAATAACAATCTGGGATTAAGAGTCTAACAATGGCTGTGAAAGCATCAGCAATTGTCAGAAAAATCCACCTGGTCCACTCATCCTTTGGAGAAGGAAACCGCTGTCCTCACCTGGTCTGGCATGCGTGTGACTAGACCTAGAGTAATGTAGTTGATTCTTCACTGCCCTCTGAGCAATTAATTAATGCTGGCCCAGCCAGCAACACCCTCATCCCATCAATGAATTCTTTAAAAACACACCTGTCACAAGAGACTGCAGTGCTCCACATAAACGAGTGTGGATGACCCAGAGGGCTGTCCAGCTATAGGCGAATTGGAAGCATTCAAAAAGATTTTTTTAAAAATCCACAAAATTTGGCCATATTACAAATCCACCTTCACAACCAAAACAGCCCTGGAGTGGCACTTGATCGGAGTTTCTGGCTCAGAGACAGGGTTCCTACTCACTAAGACCTTTCACCAAAAATTTAAAATCCAGGATGTTAATTTTGCAGATGCATTAACAATCTGATCTGTATTTTAATTTAAGACTGTCAGCATTTGGACCAAACATGCCACTTGGAAGAGAGTCTGAAAAGAATGTCAACTTGCTAATTATCATAACGTTCATAAATCTTAAATCACCAAAAGACTTAAAAAAAAAGAGGGAATAGTCAGTGTTATTTAACTTTAGACAAAAATGAAAGATACTTGGTTACTTACGGTCCAGTCCATTAATGTAGCGCATTCGGATCTCACAGTGACCCCAAACAGCACTTACAACTGGATAAAGTTTTTTCCCTTTAAGTCCTCTGCACGCAACTCCCAGATAATGTCCATCCACAATATAGCTTAAAGTTCCTTCATCCATGTCCAAAACCACCAGGAATACATCTGGTACTATAAAGGTTTCATGGGGCTCCAAGAAAGCTGGATAAGTCTGGCTTGGTTGGTTTTTGCCGTCAAAATAAAGTTTGTTACGTCCGAGGTCCCAGCCCCAGGATTCACAATTACTACCAACAAGTGCTGTGTAACCCACAGAGTGCAAAGGAGCATCTATTGTTGCAACACCAACCACTGCATGTGTTCCCCGTTGTCTCATCGCCCAAGTAATTTCCCAGACATGTAGTCCTCTGGTATATCCCACTTTGCCTCTAATGGCATCAGTACTCTGTGCCACTGGATGGCGATGAAATATCAATTTGTCGTCTTCTTTCACAAACACGTTGAGCGATCGATCATCATTGTTCCACGAGTGCAATAGCTGGACCTCGCCGTTAGCAGGTGGCATGTCCAGGAGCATGTCCAGTCGAGCTGGCTTGCAATAGTCAAGCCCTTGCAGTTCATGACGAAGAGGCCTGTATGACGGGTCTCTCACATCCACAGTCTTCAGTCCAACAGTAACTCTCTGGCCCATAGTTAAACTTCCAGCACAAAACGTAAACAACCCAATTTCCCCCCCCCCCCCCCCCCCCCTCAATGCAGTCTTCCAAATTTGCTTGTTCCAACACGTTCAGACTGGGAAACACCACCAGGTGAAGATGGAAGGCTTAGCTGTATTATCTGAAATACAGGAGCAATTATTTGAAAGAAACAGGTTATACAAGCAGTTTATGTTCAGCTTCACAGAACTAGTCTACAAAGTTATCAATATAAAAACGTCAAACAGGAAATGAAGTACAAAACAGAGGTTATAACAAAATCAAACTGGGGCTCTTTTCTTTCAGGTTCACAGGTCACCAAATAGCTCTTTATGAAAGGGTATTACAAAGGGTGGACCAAAACACATTTCCTTCCTGCTGGTAACGTCACCCAACTTAGTGAAAAAACTCCAGGTTAATATTCTGGGTGAGGAGAAAAAAAAAGAAAGAAAGAAAGAATGGTTCAAGTCCCACCATGGCAGTTTGTGAAATTTGAGTGCAGTTGATAAATCTGGAACACAAAGCTAAACTTCATAGTCACTGTCACAGTGACCATCAGATTCCCTAAAACCCAACCAAATCACTACGGTCCTCTAAGGAAATGTGTCATCTTTACCCACTCTGGCCTACATGTGGGTCAACACACAAACATGTTGTATTCTTAACCACCCTCTGAAGTGGGCCTCTAGACAGAAGAAAAAACCAAACACTGTTCAAAAGCAGTTAGGGATGGGCAACAAATGCTAGCCTTGCCTGTGACACCCAGGTACTGTGGTGTAATGAGAGGGGAACACCCAAACTTAAAAAAGGTTTAAGAGGGGATAATCAGTCAGTCGTTCATAAATCCAGTAAGTAAAATCAGGGCAAATGTTTCATTAGCTGTCACTTTTGCTAGTCAAGGGAAACAAAGTAAGGAGAAAAGGTGGATTGAATTGGAGTACAGAATCACTGGTGATCTTGTTCAGGCTGAATGGGTAATATAGTAACAGGGGCGGGTCAATGTGCTAGAGTACAGAACTTCGTACCACAGGGGTTTGGTGAGGAAACAAGCCAAGCGCACAAAGGAGGATGGAATAAGTGTTTTACAGATTCGTTTACGGGTAATGGGGGCAGACATCCAGGTTCAAATCCCAAATACCCCAGACATGTGGGGCACATTGCAGTGCATGTGACACACTTCGGGAAGTGTAGCCAGCATAGATCTATTAATCAGAGGCATCTCTATCAAACTGCAGGAAGAGCAGGAGAGGCGGGCAACAGTGTCCCTGACATGTCTGCTCTGGATTGGGAGGAGATGACCAAGGTGCACCCAGATACCAAGGAGGTGCTAAAAGCTGCTGGACTTTTGACAACTTGTCCAATATACAGGTGACAACTTTCAGTAGCACAAGCTTTCTGGACTCCAAGAACCTAAAATTATTTGTACAACACAATTCTAAACTAAATGTCTGAACAGTTTAATGTTTAAAAATCTACATGGAATGCAAAAGGAGTTTGGGGAATGCAGAGAAAACTTTACTCGGACCAGTTTTGCTGAACAGCCAGTCTCTGTTCCCTGCTGTGGTCGCACAGGGATTGAACGAGTTAGGCCCATCCACATGAAGGAGGAGGCAGAGTAGATAGAGCTGATCAAAAACAGTGTTGGATACCAGTAATGGGTGGCCAAAATTGAAAGAGATAAACTCCCCGCGGCATACACCCATTCAGTAAAGACAAAAATACAAAATTACTTTTAGGTCTTTGGTCACAGATGTAAGAGACAAATTACACCACTCCCACACATCAACTAAAAACAGAAGCTCAAAATGACTAGTCTCGTTTTCCCAGGAGGCTAAAAAAAAAGTTGCTCATGTAGTGCTCCACACTCCAACCAAGAGTTAAAGACAGGCTACCACTCCCTCCCAAAAATGGTGATTTTTGGGCAACCAATCTTGATTTTGATTTGCATAAGACAGATTCAAGAATATTTACCAACTGTTTTGGCACAGCAGTAGTTGTTAGCTCTACTACTTCACAGAGCCAGGGTCCTGCGTTCAATTCTAACTTCAGACAACTGTCTGTGTGGAGTTTGCACGTTCTCACTGTACCTGCATTCCCTCTGGGTGCTCCAGTTTCCTCCCACAGTCCAAAGGGTGTGCAGGTTAGGCAGAATAGGCATGTAAATTGCCCAAAGTGTCCAGGGATGTGCAGGCTCGGTGGGTTAGCTAGGCAGGATTACAGGGATAGGGTGGGCGGTCAGTCTGGGTAGATGCTTTTTGCAAGGGTCAGTGTGGACTCGAGTCGAATAGCCTACCTCCACACTGTAGGGATTCTACGATACTATTTTTATGCCTCTTTAGAAAAAGGAGTGAAGCTGCTAGAGACTCTGCAATGCACTTGATAGAAGCACTGTGGCAATGGTTTTATTACATTAGGGGCTTTACATAAAGTTGAAATGTGGTCAATGAATTCTACTTTGGCCAAAGTAACATCCATCTGTTGAAATCCAACAGCTGAACACAATGGTTTTCTTGCTCATCTGCCTCCACCCACCTTGAAGGCAGTTCCTTCAAGAACCCCATTCCACCCCGCCCCATTACACTGGCCTCTTCAAACAACAAAAAAAAACCAACTAATTATCTTGGACCCTGCGGCACCAAAAGAGACAACTGCTGCACAGACCACTGCAAATAGCACCATTACCTTTGCTGGTCCCCCCACCTAATTTGAGATGTGGGAATATAGTTCCTGTTTGTGGTTTTGAGGAGGGGATTATGGTGAACATTAAAAAAAAGTGGCTGGGTAGTACAGAGTTCTATTCCTGCCTCAAGATACACATTTTTTAAAATGTCTGGGTGGGGTCATTGAGCGAAGCAAAATTAACCCGTATACCTATATTTGAATGGCTAAAATATTAATAATAATGTTTTGTGCAGGTTATTACAGGGCCCTCAGTTGGGTGGAGGTATGGATTGTAAAGACTGTAAAGAAAGCCATGATCATGCTTGCTCTTACAAATGCAAAAACATTAGACTGGAGCATATAGACAGCCCATAAACCATGGAGGAGGGATTCTTTATTCCACTGGCATCACGTTGTCACACACAAGGGAACTCAAGATTAGAACAAGTATTTACATTGAGTTGTACTTGAGGTTTACGTTTAGTTGAGGAAATCATTTCTCTGGTTGCCCCTTCTCCCCATCAGGCCCTCTTTGGCCTTCAAAAGGAGTGTGTTTGACTACTCAAGCTGCCTTGCTTGGCGCCCTCCCTCACTGGCACCATCTGCTGCTAGATATCCCACTACAACGGGGTGATAGCAGATGAAAGCTGATGCTCGACTGCACTGGGCTATGAAGTCAAACTCAATTGCTAACAGATGTGCTTCAAGGGTACGCAGAGCTGACTTCAGGGTGATTGGAACTAATGGACACTAAAATCGTGAGCAGACACCGTAAAAGAAAAGAGAAATTGTTGCTATTAACAAAAGATTCAAGAACAATATTAATTCAATGACATTTTAAGGGTGATGTGATGGCCATGTGCAACTCTAAATAATACTAACAAGTTTCTAGTGTCTTCTACACTCCTGAAATTAAGGAGGAGGGTATGCAATTTCTTCCCCAACTCCCTCTCTCTGCAGTTAAGTTTCACCTTCATTTGACACAGTTCCAGGTTCAAGACCTATCCATTCCAGACGTCTGCAGGAACATCCCTGAACAGAGATTAGAAAATAGTTTCCTCTACCCCACCAAAATTGAAAATAGGAAGATAATTTCCAGTGGGACTACTGCTGGAGTGGTTTAATAATGGGTTTTGCACAATGACAAAGTTATTTTAGTATCAAAGTTATGTCAGATTTTTGTTCTAATTCTGCTTCCATAGAGAAATTGCTGATTAAAAAAAGTCTGCCTAAGTATCAGGTTAGATTTGGGAAAATTTAAAATTACACAACATTTGCTTTAAAAGGGACATAAATGAGCTGTTTAATTTTAAAAAAAAAAGCAGGTATGGTTTCAAGTTTGTGGTCAAAGTGTGGCAAATAATTTCTCTCCACACAGATGCAACCTGCTCAGTTGCTTTTGTACATAGAATTGCTACTTGAAAAAGTCAAAGCCTAAAACAGCATTCAATGATAAAACTAAATCAACTCACTCAAGAGGGAACATTAAAAGCAACAATCCAAACTAGATGGTAGCAAGATTTTCCATTTATTCCCAAGTGGGACTGGATGATTTAGATCTCTTATGAAAACACACTCCTTTTAAAAAGGAGTGCTTACATACCTCACATTGCTTTTATTCCCGCAGATTAATCTTCACAGAATTGAAGCACATTCTACCAGCAGTCTGCAAGGGAATTTGAGCGCTAGGTAAAAACAATGATTCGCAACCAACAATTAAAAATAAAATCAATCTAGGTAACATCATTGGACGCAGCACCATTAAATGATTACAAAACAGCAGAAACATTTAGCCCATAATTCATAACTTATCCAGAAGTGTCTCAACCAACTTCAAATTTTTTTAAAATTTGAACGATTGAGATGCACCAAGAGTCCAATTTTGGGCAATTGTCCAACATTTTTGGAGGTTCAAAACTGAAATAGCAATTCAGACCATCAAGATGATTATCTTCAGAGACAATTACAGATGTGGCAGCAAGGAGACTGGCTCATTCTGTTTGTGTCAATGGCAGAAGTATTCCTTGCAAGGAAGCATCACTAATTTTGACTTTTTTAAAAAAAAAAATGACTCTGCACAGATATACCAGGTTATATAAATTCCACTTAAACACCAACACTTGACAGCCACACCCATCCCTGAAACCACTCTTCTTGCAGTGTTGACAAGGTTCTCAACAAACTGAAGGTCAAAAATGGAAAACGTGACACTGGCAGAAACTGAATCACTAATTAGATACTTGAGTTGGTTACAGGCCCAGTGGAATGGTTTGTTTTTCTAATAGTGAACATCTTTGGGTAACATTTTTGACATATTTAAAAAGATTGACTTTTGGCATTTACTGCCAAAATTCTCCATTGTATCTGTTGGAATGTTGTACAGACAAGCAATTCAAGTTTTAATAGATCAAACACATTGGAGTGTGTATCTATGTATGATCATTGTCTCTCATTCACACCTATACAACAAATCCACAACAATCTCACACAAACCAAATGTCTATCACAAGACTCTGTTGGATTAAATTATGTTGATTTCTAAAGTATTGTAAACATTTGTGCATGCACCCACAGCAAGCAATTATGAAGGCAAAGAGCACATTGGCCTTTTGCAATTAAAAGGGACTGGAATATAGGTAGTTCTGCTATAACACGTGTTGTATTAACACAAAATTAGCTGTAACGCAATTGATGAATCGTGGATGCTGTTTGGATAATGTGAACTTTCTGCTGTACAGGTGTGGCAATTTTCTGTAGCATAAGGTTATGCAAGAATGCAACAATCACGTTATAGGAGAATTACCCGCACAAAAAAGAAAGGGTGGGCTCTTATGGTGCAGCAGTACTGTCCCCACCTCTGAGCTAGGAGGCCCAGGTCAGAGTCTCACTTGTCCCAGAGGAACATCGTAACATCTCTGAACAACCATTCTAAAAAGGAAAACAAAAACAAAGACTTGACAAAAGTTGCCTAGTGTCTTGAGACAGACACACCAGGCTACACCAATAAAAAGAAGTGTGCACCATGTCCAAGGAAGGACATGTGTGCCTGGCAGGCAGCACAGCAACAATTCATTGGGTTGGTTCCTGGGATTAGGAGGGCTAGCCAATGAATGGAGCTCAAGGAAATTGTTTCACCTAAAAGTGTTCAATTACTGCACGACAAGGGGCAGGTTTTGCTCCTGGTCACGTTGCTGCTGAAGTCTGCCAAGTCCCAGTCACTCAACCATTCCCGTGAAGCCACGTAAATTTGTTTTCTTCAGGTAATTATCAGATTCTCTTGATTGAGTTCACCTCTCCCATGCTCCAAGGCAGGAGACCGGAATAATGAGAAATTACTACTTTGGAATATTTGGGACTCTGACGGGATTAAACAGAGTGGACACAAGAGGGACAGTCTTAAGATTTAAAGAAAAAAAAAAAAGAAAGAAAGAGAGAGGGCTGAGCATTTAGGACAGGAGAAATTTCTTCACTTAGAATGGGTTGTGAATCTTCTTGACCTCAGAGGATGGAGGATGATCCATCATTAAATATATTCAATGCTAAAAGAGGGGGATTTCAGGCAATTGAGGGATGCCAGGGATGTGTGGGCAAGCAAAGTTTAGGCAGAAGCTCAGCCATAAAAAAAAAGAAAATTGTACACCAAAAACTGGTTCAGGGGGCTCGATAGTCCCAAGTAATTCTAGCTTTTCAATGTAAAATGTCCAGAACAAAACACTCTGAAGTTCAATTTTCAATTAAAATACATGATCATGACAAAAAAAAAGTACTCCAACTCATTTCACCTACAGCACTTAAGTGCAATGATTGCTGATGTTTTTCCCCATATCAAAAAGAACCTTGATGATATTTAAAAATCAATGCACTGAATGAGCAGGATTATTGGGAAAGGGCAGAAGAATGGTTCCTAGTCACAATGCACTTTTTCAAATAGCAAGGGTTGACAGGATTACCTGAAGGTCCTACTTTGGCACCATGAACATCGAGATTGTTGTGACAAAAAGAAACTAAATGGATAACTAAAGAATTTAAAAAAGGACTTAGGGAAGGAGGACAAAGAATCCTGAATGGGTACATACAGGCAAAAAGAGTGTTTTGGAGATAGTAAGGACTGCAGATGCTGGAAGTCAATAAAATGTGGAGCTAGGAGAAGCACAGCAAGTCAGACAGCATCAGAGGAGCTGGAATGTCAACATTTTGGGTCTGGACCCTTCATCAGGGCTGGGGAGTGGAAAGGGAGTTCAGAAATAAATTGGGAGGTGGGGGTTGGTAATAGGTGGATGCAGGTGTGTGTGTGTTTTGCCATTTTTCCCCCTCAATTAAGTCATTAAATATTATAAATGCACAAATTTCATCTCAAGTACTAGCTTCCAGCAATTTCTCAAAGTTGAACAGATATGTAATGGCACTGCTACACACAAAAAAGCTTAAAAAAAGACAGGAGAGACCAATCATATTCTGAAGTGTCAGGCACACAAGCATCATTATTGTGCCCATGGTTCTTGCCCCAATTTAAGAATTTTCCTTCAGAAAACAAAAAAAAAAAAAAAGGGTTTATTACTTATGTCCAAGATAACAATAAATTTTAATCAGAGGGTGGTCAATCTCTGGAAGCGTAGTCGGAGTAGGTTTATTGTAGAACTTGATACATTAAGTTACCAAAAACAGCAGGATAAAGAGAGATGTATAGCTCACAGGCATTGAAGACATTAGATTAGTCATGATCTTAAGTGGTGGAGCAGGCTGAACCAACTGAATGGCCCACTCCTGTTCCCATGTAGTGCAATAAAGAGATTCAACTGCACTTTCCTGCCTGCTGTTTATAGTGTATGAATCCTGCAACAAGGGTTGTTACAATGACGTGGGTTCTTTTTCTTTGAAGACTAAATATAGAGAATGAGAACCAAGAGGCTACATGGACAGAGCACTGCAGCATCTACCCAGTCCTTGGGCATAAAACATCATAACTGATCTGGTCGCGGATGTGATCGACAGAAATTTAAGGTGTGTCCCTTAGAAAGTTGGATTTACGTGACAAATCTGCCTACCATAGCCTTGAATACAATCAATCATTCAGATCCCTTTAAGTGAAAACACCTTGCCTCATCTGTGCCAAATCATCAGCTCCTTATCCAGAGACTGTGCTCCCTTATTCTTCACCTCAGCATCTACTCAAGCTCCTTCAGAACCTAGGATGCTTCACATTATAAACCTCCAAAATCAACCTCTCATCATAGCAAGTGATCAAACCTTTGCTGTACTGCCTGTGTCTCCATATTGAAACATTAAAGTGTAAAAAGTATTCCAAAAAAAGTGTTTAGACCAAAGTCTTGTAGCATATGGTGGCTAGACTGCTTTATTCTTGCACTCCAACCCTTTACAGCAAAGGCCAACATACAATTTGCCTGCATAGTTGCTTGCTGTCCTTTCATCTAACTTTTGTGCTCCTTGTGCAAGAGTACCCAAAGTCTCTGAACACCAACATTTACAAGTTTAAAAAAAAAAGAATATCAAAAAAATTCACTGTTGTATCATATTATACTCCAGCTGCTCAGACACTACCTACTCTATACTTGTCTATAGCCTTGATGTCTCCTGCTCAGTGCAGTATGGCTCCAGGTAGACAGGAGGCTGGAAAAACACAGCAAGCCAGGCAGCATCTGGAGGAAAAGGGCAGTCAACGTTTCGGCTATTCCAGCTATGGCTCCAGTCTGAAATCAAATTCTGTACTCAGGACATAAGATTGTGCAGAAGTCAGATTTAATGGTTTCCCAGAATATCCTTCCTTTTTGCTACAGGTTCCATAGTAATTACATGGCAACACTGGAGGTGTCAAGACAAACAAACAATTTATTAAAAAATCAAAAACAGTAAAAAAATAAGTAAAAACAGACTGCAGATGCTGAAACTCTGAAGCAAAAACAAAGTGCTGACAGCAATTGGTAGAGAGAAGCAGCACTAACATTTAGAGCCCAGAGACCCTTTGCCTAAGCATCCTGTTAACATTAAGCTTTTTTTCTCTCTCTCACAATACAGATGCTGCCAGTTCTGAGTTTCTATCACAAACAAAGGTGCTGAAATTCTTCAGTCGAGTCATAAAATCCTTCGAGAGAGAAGCAGGCCATTCAGCCCACCGAGTCCACACTGACATCCAAAGAGGATTGGACCCACCCCTACTCTCTCCCTGTAACCCTGTAATTCCCATGGACAACCCACCTTGCCTGCCCATCCCTGGATGTTATGGGCAATGGAGCATGGCAAAGCCACCTAACCTGCACATCTTTGGACTGAACCAGGCTGAACTCAAGTCTTATGCCAGCAGAGATGGTGGCTGCAGTGGTAGCTCTCATCCCATCATTGGGAACAAAGGACAAGCAGTAAGTTGATTGAGATCAAGCAATTGTCACTAAGTCTCTGTACTGAAGGGGAGTCATACCAGACCCAAAACAGCAACTGGTTTTCTTTCCACAAATACTGCCAGAGTTGCGGAGTTTCATCAACACTTCACTAACCTTGCTCTTTGCCACAATCATATCTTGCTGAAGGGGTCAGGGTGCACGAGATCTCTCGGGATGCAAATACACAAAAGTATCCAACCACAATTTCTGCGTAGGTGCTGAACCTAGTTTAGTTATCTTGCAACTAATTTCAGAGCAACACAAATGCACACTTATCAGGGTTCAGGAATGAGACACTCACAAGAGGAACTCTGTCTGGTTTGGTGTGCATGACATGACAATTCAGTAAGAAACCACTTAGGGAAAACGTTCTACAGGATTGGAGTTATAAAGGAGAGGTTGGATAGGCTGGGACTTTCTCTTTCTCTTTTTCCACCCACCCCCACCACCAGCTGGAGCACAGGGGGTGGAGGGGTGACCTTAGCGGGGGGAAAAAGACCCCTGCCATTCACCTGAAGATGGAGGATTAAGACATTTTTAAAAAAGGGGAGGAGAAAAGGGATTTTAAGACAAAGTAATTTTTTGTTTTTTCTAAAAAAAAAAGCAAACAAAAAACAGTGGGTCGTGTAAGAATGAAGTGCCAGAGGGAATGGTGGCTGCAGGTATAGTTTCAAATGTTTAAGTGACACTGAGGTTAAGGGATATGGGACAAACACAGGTAGGTGGGACTGGTTTAGTTTGGGATTATGGTTGACATGGACCAGTTGGATCGAAGGGTCTGTTTCCATGCTGTATGACACAGACTAAAATGGGTTCCTTGTGGGGCAGTGCCAATTTCCCCCATGCCTGAAGAGGCAGGAGGTCCAGGTTCAAGTCCTACTTGCTCCAGAGCCTGCATCATAACATCTGACCAAGTCAGTTCAAACTATATACACAGAACTGAACATCACAGCTGATGGGCATGCCCAGCTGATTTAGGCTGAAACCTGGCCCCTAAATTAAGCAAAAATCTGAAAGGAACAATGACACAGAAAAAAAAAAGTGCTTGGAGAACAAGATTCATTTGATTTTAATGTAATTTCTTTCCCATGCACAATGTGGGCCTGCCAGGAGGATTTCCGACTCTTGGGTCAGTTTACACTGACGGGAGAGATGTGGCACCAATGGTGTGTTAGTACATGAGAAATAAATTGCATTCATACAGCACTTTTGCCCATTGGTGCTACACAGTTGCAAGAACGCAAGCACCAACAATTGAGCCACATCTGCCACTTTGATATCATTTCTTTGCAGTAAATGGCATAATTCTAAACAAAGAGGAAATTGCAGATGTATAAGCAGCTATCAAAGCACTTCATTCATTGAAAGCTCACTTTAGCACACTCCACAAAGCGTGGATACTTTTTATTACAGCCTATATCCAGAAAATTAGCACATTCACTTTCAGTTGTACTAAACTGCGGAGAATTCAAAACATTGTAGTAGCTTGCAATCCAAATCGGAAACAAAACCACATGGTTTACGTAGTAAATCTTCGTCCAGATTTGAGAGAGAGTGTGTCACCACAAAGGTACCATTTCACAGAAAGAAAATTTTTTTCCTTGTAAAATCTCATTGTGCAAATATTTGAGAAACTTCTTTTGGTGAAAAGAACTCCATTACCTGGCTAAAGTAAGAACACCGATTCAACTAACCAGGAGTCTTGGAAAATATAGGAGAAATATTGGCCAAGTTAAAGATGGCTTTTATCACAGCATTTAAAAAAAGTGTAGTTGCTGGTTGCGTCTCCTGCAAAACAGATTCAGACATTAACAAGACCAGGGACTTTCCACTTCTACAGAGTTTGACAGTATCAAATTAGATTAGCGAGATCTCATTACAAAAAAAAAGTGAGAAAGTGCAGAAACCAAAAGCATCTATACAAATGATACCTTAGATTTAAGATTTCATTGAGATCATCAGAACAACCTAATGCTTTTGGCTGAAGAATTATTTCTGAGCTGCAGCCTTACGCTGAAGGAAAGATATACAGTCGACTTGAACAGAGCAGAGCTTTATAAAAATCAGTTTTAGTGTTTCCTTGTTCAAGCAATAAATGCAAGTCAGAACTAGTGACTCCTTCGCATTATGTTTTTTTTTAAACATGGTCTTATTGAACTGTATAATCTGCCTGAAAAATGGCAGTCATCCGTCAATATTCCCAGGGGTAACCAATGACTAAAAAACAGCGTGTGATAGCTATACAAATACTACAGCCACAAGAGCAGATCAGAGACTAAATATTTTGAAGTAAGCCACCTTTTGGATTCCTGAAAGCCAGTCCACCTTTTAAAAGGAACAAGTCAGGGGTATAATGGAATACAGAGATAGTAGGAACTGCCGATGCTGGAGAATCTGAGATAACAAGGTGTAGAGCTGGATGAACACAGCAGGCCAAGCAGCATCAGAGGAGCAGGAAAGCTGAAGAAGGGTCCAGACCCGAAACGTCAGCTTTCCTGCTCCTCTGATGCTATGATGGAATACAGCCTACTTGACTGGATGACCTCAAACTTGGCATCTTCTAGGATAAAGGAGCAGGCTTGACTGATGCCACATCCGCTTCCTCCAACACTGCTGCACAACAGTGGGGACCACCTACAAGATGCACTGCAGAAATTCTGCAAGTCTCCATAGACAGCATCTTCGCAACCCACAACCACCATCTAGAAGGAGAAGGACAGCAGTTATAGCAACATCTACAAGCCATTCACCATCCTAGCATAGGACCAAAATTACCATTACTTCAGTGGCAGTCAAAATCCTCAGACCCCCTTCCACAAAAGCATTGTAGGTGCACCTACGCAAAATAGATTGTAGCGTGGTTCAATAAAATAGTTCACCACTACATTCGAGGGCAACTAGGGAAAGATGTCACTAAAAAGTATCACCGGAAATGACGAGCAGCCCTGACCACGTGCTTGCGGGAATGTTACATGCAGCAAATCTGCGATATTGCTGTGCTCAAGTCCCAAAGACTGCCGACTTGGGAGGCGTGAAGTGCTCCCACAAAACGAAACAGACCCCAGCTGGCATCAGGGAACTTCCACGCATGCACACACACAGTTTCATCAGTTGAAGTGCGGGCAGGAACAGGATAGAGTACAAGTTAAGAAATAGTTGGGGCGGGTGGGGGAGGTGGAGAAACCAAAAATACTAACAGCTTGCATTTCTTAATTCACTTGAGTGAAGTTGCTATTTGATGAATACAGGAGAAGTTTCAGCCGGTTTTAAAAAAAAAAAAATTGTATATGTTTCCTTCTCCTTCCATTCAAACTGCAGCAGAGGAAGGTGGTGGTTGGGAGGTGCAGAAATGGTTTTGGATAAGCCTTCAACACAGGTGGTCAAGGCCAGCCTGCAAACTGAACAAGTTACAACCAGACAGAACCTAGTCAACGTCGAAAGTTTAAAAAAAAACACAGGGAAAATGTTTTGCTAGGATTAGACCATTACCACAATGACAACTTGTTCTGACTGGTACCTGGGAATGGGTGAGGATTGGCAGTGTTGGTGGGAACAAGTGCATGCAAGGATGACAGATGCTCCACACCAAGTAACCTGCATTTTTGCGCTTCGTGCATTTGCAAAGGATCTCAAACAATTAACTAACTGTGGTTAGTCAGATCAGGCTCCGGTCTTTCAGGCTGGAATAGGCCCATTGATTGTTACTGAGCAGGTTGGGCATCAAGATAATTCAGCCTCATTATTTTAAACTGAAGGTAACTAAAAAAGGCAGGAAGCTTCATTTGTAGCCAAAAGATCTTACTATAGCAAACAGAAAAAAAAAGAGAGCTCCCAAAAGGAGCTGTATTCTGCTGATCATGGTGATTCATTAAGCTTTCACTATCAGTGAATGGATAAGAATCACTAACACAGCACAGTCTTTGTCTACAGCACAATGAGGATGCCTCCGGTATGGAGCACAGATGGTCACAGATAGCAATACTGTGCAAAAATGTCATCACTTCAGGTTTCCACCAGTTTAGTTCTAGGCTTTTCATTTTTGCTGGGGGAACAAAGTAAAGAAGCATGATTTTGATTAAATAATCAATTGTGAGAAAAATCAGACTGTCTCAAAACGTGAATCCACTCACTCCTACAGTCAGTCATATCTAGGAGCAATGAAACAAGGACAGGAAGCTTAGATGAATTCAGATTGTCAAATGACCATGCTTTAGAAGAAAAACTAGTGGGTAGGGATAAAGTGAAGTTGGGCCAGAGGCACTGAATCAGCACTAAAACTTAAAATGAGAATGTGAATTCTGTTGGTTTTGTGAAAGAATGCACATTTGGCAGGCCATTCAAAGCTTAAATGGCTGCAAAACAAGGGAGTTATTAAAAGGACTTTATTAGAGTTGGAAGCAGTATTGTTAAATACCTAGCTCATAGTTCATGTTATAAATGAAGGATGTTTAGCTTTGGGATCCTTGAAGATAATTAAAATGCTGGACTTCAGGTGATTGCCACAACATCCGAAAGAAATGGCAGCTCAAAAAGCCTACCCATATTTGTTTAAAATCGACTCAGAACAGAAGGCAAGACCATAAAATAGCAGGTGGCTGGACTGATTATTGCAGTGCAGTGTACAGAGATTGATGTAGTTTTGATTTGCAACAGAGCATAATTAATTAGTTTAAAAGCATTCAGTAAACTTCAAAATGGCAGCTCAAAAAGTCTACTTACTTCATCAGATCAAGAAAGAAACTGTAAATGGTTTGGAGGACAGCTCAGAGCAGACTACAAGGTCATGGGAGAACAAGTGGAACAAAGAAAGGCTGCAGTATCAATTAGTTTAGGTATTTGTGAGGGGCAGTGTTTAGTTATCCTTTGGACCTTGTGCAGTCTGCAGCCCAGGAAGGTTAACCAAAATAAAAACAGACCCACACTATAAAGCAGAGTAAAACACTAACTTCACCACTGACCATGTGGAAGGTGGGTGAGGAACCAGATAACAGGTTTCATGTCATTTAACAAAAAAAGGAAAGCATTTGATATTTCATGACTTGTTTGACAGTGGAGTGTCAAACCAAGTCACACATTTGGCAACAGTGGAATTAGGACTTACCCAAGTCAATAATTTGTGGGTCAGCGTGCACCGCAGTCATATTATAACTCAAAAGCAGCTGCCACTGGAAATTTACATGGTCCAAATGCTACTGGAAAATGGAATATCATTTTAATTGCACAATTAAGCCAGGCACAGCATGACTGGATTTGAAGAACTGCTTAAAATGCAACACAGATTGGAGGACGGACTGACAGAGCCGAACTCTTATTGAAAAAGGTGGGTAACAGCTGTAAACAGCCATTTGGGAGTTGGGTCTCATTTTTGCATTAAAAAGCAACAGCTTGGCTAGTATGCACAAGTTGCCCGGTCAGTGATAACTGCTACAAAAGCACCAGATCAGCACATTGACTGGCCTCCGCAACACATGGGCAGCAGTCAGGACAACAAAAACTATATTAAACAAAATTGGTCTTTCAAAAAAACCTAACTGCCTGGAAGGCTGGCAGGTTTAGCTTTTGACTGTTGACACACAAGAACTTGTGTGGGCAGCAATCGGCAAAGTTCGAAAGCAAAAAAGTTGCCGAGAGCAAGTCTATGCTTTGCCAGACAAGTTGGATCACAAATTTTAAGCTTGCCTAATTGCGTAAGTTTGCTATTAAAAATGATCAGGCCACCTAGGAATATCATTTTTTAAAAAAAAAAAAAAGAAATGGTGATAGATTTGCTTTACTGTCCATCTCCAATTGCCCAGAATGCATTTAAGAAATAAACCATATTGCTGTGGGTCCAGAATCACATTTAGGTCAGTCCAGATAAGAATGGCTGACTGAAAAAAAAATTAAACTCATCTGGTTCACTAATGACAAAACATTGGTTACAGGTTGCTAATTTTTAATTCCAGATTGTTATTGAATTCAAATCTTTACCATTGTCTATGGTGGTGGGAGAGCTGCTGGGTGTTCAGGATTACTACATTCCACTATAACTACCTCCCCATTGAAGTGTACAGCATACAGGCCGATTTCAATGTTTCATACAGTTTGGTGGAAAAAAGATCTGTTACAGGTGCCACACAAGTTCTACTTAAATTGAGTCACTTTAAGGATTGTGGATCAAAAAAAATCTGCCCAATTAATTTATTGGGAATTAGTTTTAATGTAACCATTGAACAAGCAATGCAGTTTGACCTGAAATCACGAAACAAGTTTTGGATCAGAACCATGTGCCACTTTCAGTAGAGATTTTGTTTGCCAAACAAACATCACTCATAGGCCATTTAACCATCATGATGTAGTTGACCATGCTAAGTGAAGAAAAATCCATCAAATACTACTTCAACAGAAGACCTGATTCAGCCAGTAATCCAAAGTGGAACATTATCAACAGGCTTTACATTCCAAAACTTTTGATGTTTAACCAGGTATAAATTTCACATTCCTTCATGTCTGTATTCTTACTGAGAAGTCCAGGTAAACACCAAGTAATCTCATTAGGACTAAGTTACTACAAATGCTAGAATCTGTGCCAAAAACTAAATGCTGGAGACCACAGCAGGTCAGGCAGCATCCATGGAGAGACAGCAAGCTAACGTTGTGAGCCTAGGCTGGAAACATTAGCTTGCTTTCTCTCCATAGACGCTGCCTGACCTGCTGTGACCGCCAGCATTTCTGGTTTTCAATTTCATTAGGAATCCTCGGTTCAAAACATGGAAGCACATTAGATGCAATAGTCAGTTCCCAACAAA